AGAAGAAGACAGGAAATGTGGGAAAGTCTGGAACCTCCTAGAGACTTGTTGAATGGGTTTGACAAAACGGCTGATAGTGACATGAACAATAAGGTCCAGGCTGAAGTGCTCTCAGATGGAGATGAGAAACTTGTTGGGAACTGGAGCAAAGGTGACTCTTGTTATGTTTTAGCAAAGAGACTGGTGGCATTTTGCCCCTGTCCTAGAGATCTGTGGAACTTTGAACTTTAGAGAGATGACTTAGGGTATCTGGCAGAAGAAATTTCTAAGCAGCAAAGCATTCAAGAGGTGACTTGGCTGCTGTTAAAAGCATTCCATTTTAAAAGGGAAACAGAGCACAGAAGTTCAGAAAATTTGCAGCCTGATGACGCAGTAGAAAAGAAATACTCATTTTCTGAGGAGAAATTCAAGCTGGCTGCAGAAGTAATGAGGAACCAAATGTGAAACCCCAAGACAACAGGGGAAAATGTCTCCAGGGCATGTCGTAGTTCTTCATGTAGCCCATCCCATCACAGACCCTTTAACCTAGGAGGAAAATATGGTTTCATGGGCTGGGCCCAGGGTCCCAATGCTGTGTGCAGCCTAGGGACTTGGTGCCCTGAGTCCCAGATGCTCCAGCCATTGCTAAAAGGGGCCATGGTACAGCTTAGCCCATAATTTCAGAGGGTGCAAGCCCCAAACCGTGGCAGCTTCCACATGGTATTGAGCCTGTGGTGCACAGAAGTCAAGAATTGAGGTTTAGGAACCTCCACCTAGATTTCAGAAGATGTATGGAAATGCCTGGATGCCGAGGCAAAAGTATGCTGCCAGGGCAGAGCCCTCATGGAGAACCTCTGCTAGGGCAGTGTGGAAGGGAAATGTGGGTTCAGATCCCCTACACAGAGTCCCTACTGGGGCACCGCCTAGTGGAGTTGTGTGAAGACGGCCACCATCCTCCAGACTCCAAAATGTTAGATCCACTGACGGCTTGCACAGTGCACCTGGAAGAGCCACAGACACTGAACATTAGCCTGTGAAAGCAGCCAGGAAGGAAGCTATACCCTGCAAACCACAGGTGTGGAGCTGCCCAAGACTATGAGAACCTACCTCTTGCATCAGCATGACCTGGATGTGAGACATGGAGTCAAAGGAGATCATTTTGGAGCTTTAGAATTTTACTGCCCTGATGGATTTCAGACTCGCATGTGCCCTAGAACCCCTCTATTTTGGCCAACTTCTCCCATATCTAGGAAGTTTGCTTTTGATTTTACAGGTTCATAGGTGGAAGGAACTTGCCACTAGGTGGTGCCCCAGTAGGGACTCTGTGTAGGGGATCTGAACCCACATTTCCCTTCCACACTGCCCTAGCAGAGGTTCTCCATGAGGGCCCTGCCCCGGCAGCATACTTTTGCCTGGGCATCCAGGCATTTCCGTACATCTTCTGAAATCTAGATGAGATTTTGGACTGTAGACTTTTGGGTTAATGCTGAAATGAGTTAGGACTTTGGGGGACTGTTTGGAGGGCATAATTGGTTTTGAAATATGAGAACATGAGATTTGGAGAAGCCAGAGGTGGAACGATATGGTTTGGCTCTGTGTCCCCACCCAAATCTCATCATGAACTGTACTCCCAGAATTCTCATGTGTTGTGGGAGGGGCATGGTGGGAGATAATTTGAATCATGGGGCAGTTTCCCCCATACTTTTCTCATGGTAGTGAATAAGTCTCACAAGATTTGATGGGTTTATCAGGGGTTTCTGCTTTTACATCTTCCTCATTTTTCCTCTTGCCACCGCCATGTAAGTAGTGCCTTTCACCTCCCACCATGATTCTGAGGCCTCCCCAGCCATATGCAATTCTAAGTCCCACCAAATCTCTTTTTCTTCCCAGTCTCAGGTATGTCTTTATCAGCAGTGTGAAAACAAACTAATACAGGGGCATAACAAATTGGGCAGTAATGCAAGTTCCTTTTATTTTCTGAGTAGGCTTAATGTACAGAAACGCCTATATTCTATGTGTCTCTCCATCAAGAACTTGAAAAGCTTATTAGGGTATAGATCCTTCTGAGCTGTCCAACAGTTCTGATGTTGAAGTCTAAAAAGAGCCTTATGTATGAAAGAGTCATAAATGGTTTTAACCCCTGGAGACTTAACAGAAATGGATTTGTTTGCCAATGCTTTCCCACTAATGAAGATAACCTAGCTAGGTCCCTAATGACATTGTTTATAACAGACCTCCCAGGAAGCAGAAACCTACACACTATAACTGATAATAAGCACTATACAGTAGGTACTCCCTCCAGAAATCTAAAACTCAGAAAAAGACAGTACTTTGAAAATGCTAGTTTTTTTCTACTGCACTACTAGAAATATATTTTATTAATAACTATATAAGAAATTTCTGCCTTTCACCTGAAATTTATATAGCATAAGAGATTCTGTCTTAATATACTTCTTTTTGCCAGTAAAAGCACTACCAAAGACTCTAACGTCAGATTTCTAAGGCACCATGAATCTACAGATAAAGAATGGATTCTCCCAATTAAATTAAATAAATAGCAGCTGGCTTCCTAGCCTGAATATTTATCATGAGTTTTTCAAACACGTTCTTTTTAACACCTTGCTTTTTTTTTCTCAATCTCTCATTGGCACATGAGAATCTCTCTCTCTTTTTACTACATCATAATGTTCCATAATGTAAATGTGTCAGTTTCTTCAAACACTCCTTAAATGCTGGACACTGGCTGTTTCCAATCTTTTGCTATTGTGTGCAATGTTTCAATTAATAACTCTGCTTACTTGGAGTTCAATCTATCTGCAGAATAGATTTCTAAAAGAGACACTACTTGGTGAAAAAGTAAAATGCAACTGTAATTTTGGTAGATACTGCCAGTTTCTTCTCCATAGGGATTGTGCTGTTTAGCACTCCCATCACATATATCAGTATTTATTTCTTGAAGACCATCTATAAAAATATATATTGGGCTAAACATAGTGGCTAACACCTGTGATCCTAGGGCTGTGGGAGGTCAAGGTGGGAGGATCTCAGGAGGCCAGCCTAGGCAATAGAGAGCCTATAAAAAATTTAAAAATTTAGGCTAGGCATGGTGGTACATACCTGTATTCCTAGCTACTCAGGAGGCTGAGGTGGGAGGATCACTTAAGCCCAGGAGTGTTACAGTGGACTATGATCATGCCACTGCACTCCAGCCTGGGCAATGGCGCAAGATCCTGTCTCTAATTAATTTATACACTTCACACACTCACACACACACACACACACGCAGAGAGAGAGATATAGAATACATATGCCTAGAGCTCACCTCCCAAAGTCTCACTCAGTAGATAAGAGGTTGGGCCTGAGCAGGCCTATTTTGAAAACGCTCTCTAAAGCGCATATCCCTGGTTGAGAATCCCTGTTTTAAAAGGTATTCTAGTCTTGGTTACATTGTTCAAATCCAAAAAAAAGTCAAGTTAAACCTCTAATCTACAAAATTTATACTTCATGGTCACTCATCCAATATTTTTTGAGTGCCTATTATGTGCTGGGCACTCCAAATGTCAAGTATATAAAGATACCAGTGTCTAACATCAACAGATAAACAATTAAGAAACAAGGCATAAATATTAATGTTAGAGATTTACAAAGAGTATATGAGAATACTGAAGAGGTACTTCACCTTAACTGGAATGTCAGAGGAGGGCTTGTTGAAGGCGGGTGCCCCTGAGGTGAGTAGGGATTCACCAGGTAAGAAAGAGAAGAGGTGTACAAGAGGGAGAGGGCATTCCAGGTAGAAAACAATATATTGCAAAGGTAGTAAGCAAGAAACAGAAGGGATGTGGATGTGTGCATAACTGGAAACATTTCCTATTCCTAAAACACAAAATATAAGGGAGAGAAAAGAAATAGGCTGCAAAAGAAGGCACGGATCAGATCACTGAGCACCTAGCATGTCCTGTTAAGAAGCTTAAACTTTATTCCATAGGCAAAGAAAGTCACTGAAGGGATAGATTAAGGGTTTTAAGGCTAAGGATGACATGGTCAGATTGCTATTTAAGATTTATGAATGCCAATCTACTAGAAAAGCATGTAACTGGAAAATGAAAGGTCAGGAAACTGATGCAGTAATCAGATGTAGGCCTGAATTAGGGCACAGGTTAAGGAGAAAATGAATGGAAGAAATTTGAAAAGGTAAAATGAGCAGGACATAGATATTAGATATGGGGACAGAGGTGAATGGAGGAATGATTTCAAGGCGCTGTCAAACCACTACTAGCAAAATACTGGATTTAAGCTATTTTTCTAGCAGCAGTGATAGGTTTACACTGATTCAGTCATACTATCTTATCTGGTTTTGGCATTTCCATGGCCAGGGATAGATGTACAGAGCGTAGCTAGACACAAAGGCAGGGCCAGGCATGGTAGCTCACACCTGTAATCCCAGGGTTTTTGGAGGTTAAGGCAGGAGGATCACGTAAGGCCAGAAGTTCAACAGACCAGCATGGACTATATGGTGAGACCTCTGTCTCTACAAAAATATTTAAAAATGGACATGGTGGTGTGTACCTGTAGCTCTAACTACTCAGGAGGCTGAGGCAGGAGGATTTCTTGAGCCCAGGAGTCTGGGGTTACAGTGAGCCACTGCACTCCAGCCTGGGTGATAGAGCAAGACCCTGTCTCAAGCTAAGCTTTATAATATTAGCAATGCATTTTGGGCAACCTGAAGTCTTACCACCAAATAGTCAGTCTTTGGGAATGAGTAGATCTGGGGAGAGTCTCCTCTGAATCCCTCCCACTCTCCTGATTCATACAAGTGTAATGGTCCTGCGAGGACAGAGGAAAGAGTTGCGTGTAGCCCAGGCTAAACTTAACCTAACCTTTCCTCTCTGGATTCCTAAAAAACAAAATGAAGGGAAACAAGAAACCAATCAATAACCATCACATGAAAACACGACCACTGCTTAGAAAGTCCATGAATGAAACACACACACACACACACACACACACACACCAAGGCTTACCTTTCTTTTATCTTCATCTGTTGATTCAAATTTGAAAGTAGCCCTATGCTGAAGGGGGAAAAAAGGGAAACAATGTCATTTTAAATACATGGATTTTTAAAGTTTGGTTATGTTTAAAAATATCTAATATAATGTCCTCATAAAAATGTTGCCTTCCGGTATATCTCAATATTCTTATTAAAGTAAGAGATAGGCATGTAAACAAATAATTATAAGGCAGTGTGAAAAGACTGCAGCAGAAATATAGATAAAAGAGTGCAGTGAACCAAGCCACTAACTGCCCAGCACAATCTGGAATGGCTTTCACAGAATACAGAGCATTTTGCACTGGATCTTGAGGGATAAACAGGAGTATGCCAGAGGCAAACGGAATGCATTCCAGGAACAAAAACAAAGGCTCGAATGTATGAAAACTATATGATATATCTGTGAAATAAGCAACTTTGTGAGACCAGAACACAGGACATATGTTTGGGAGTGGGGCATGGAGGAAGATGAGAATGGAAATGTAGACTGGACAGTGATTTGGAAGGGCTTTCCAATGTTGCTGAGTTTATACTTTTTTTTCATATGCAATAAGAAATCATCAGAGAATTGTGGTTAGGGAAGCTTGATAATTTGATATTTCAGAAAAGTAATTCAATAAGAATAAGAGTTTAAATCATGGTGGCTCCACCACTTACTAGCTGTGACCTTGAGCAAATAAACTCTCTGGAACTGGGCTTCTCACCCAAAAACAGGGTATACCTAGTTCACAGAGTGATTGTGACAGTTAAAAAAGCTAAGGCATATATATAAAGCACAATCTCAGTGCTGGCAAGTAGTAATACTCAGTAAATATCAGGGTTATAATAATGATGACGCCAATGATTATGAGGAAAAAATAATTGGAAAGGTAGGGAGTGTCATGACTCTTCTGCGATGATCAGCAATACTATGTTTTCCACTCTGTAGCTGAAGTGGAAGAGAATAGAAGACAAAATAAGTTTGCTTGCCCATGATCACAGAAAGAATGGAAGTACGCCAAAAATAGAGCAGAGAATTCCTCATTCTCCACCGAAGTTTTATTCAAGAGAACCAAGTGCTCTTAAGAATTCTAAGCCTTCCTATTAAAAAAAAAATCTCCACTGAAGATTTTTCTTTTTCTTTTTTCTTTCTTTCGCTGGCCACAGTGACAAATACTTACTGGCAATCCACCAAGAATGAAGTACTAAAGATACTAAAGTACTAAAGATATCATCATTACAGGTGGTTCTGCGTTGACATCGTTGTAGAAGCAGCAATTTTTGAAATTAAAGAAGACAGCGGGCCGGGCGCAGTGGCTCACGCCTGTAATCCCACCACTTTGGGAGGCCGAGGTGGGCGGATCACGACGAGGTCAAGAGATCGAGACCATTCTTGCCATGATGAAACCCCATCTCTACTAAAAATACAAAAATTAGCCAGGTGTGGTGGCACGCGCCTGTAGTCCCAGCTACTCGGGAGGCTGAGACGGAAGAGTCGCTTGAACCCAGGAGGCGGAGGTTGCAGTGAGCCGAGATTGCGCCACTGCACTCCAGCCTGGCGGCAGAGCAAGACTCTGTCCTAAAAAAAAAAAAAAAAAGACAGCGAAATGCTGGCAGAGAAGTTCTGAATGTGAGAAATGGTCAGATTGAAGACTCAGAGGTAGGAGACAGTGGCCATCTGAAGGAGGGAGGCTGCCTCTAATATGGATGCAAAACAATTTTTTTAAAAAGATATAGATTTTAAAATTTATACCTGAATTGGCAAATAGGTGACAGGCAACCAGAGGAAGACTATGACGGAGGTGTGACCAGCATTCTGGAAGAACATTTTGGGCAGTAGCTCACAGGTCAGATTAAATGAGACCAAGACTAAGAACATAACACCCTGTGAGGAATGGACATCAATAATCCAGGCATGATACTCCTGGTGGCAGTATAAACTGACATAAACCTTAAAAGAGAAAGTGATTTGGCAACAACACATACTAGAAGCCATAAAAATATTCATACCCTTTGACCCAGAACTCCTACTCCTACGAATTTATCCTAATGATCATCTGGAAGGAGAGAAAAATTATGTGTGCCAGTATCACTGCAGTATTATCCAATATTGTGGAGGAAAAAAGTGAGAACTGGAAATAACCAACAGGGGACTGATGGAATGCTGTGCATGTGACAATATTCTATCATACATATCAGATTCGCGTGACAATATTATGTAGCAATTTTTAAAAAAGAAAACTCATTGTTGGTATATTATTTTCATAATAAAAAAGAAATTTTAAAAATGAATAATGAATAAAGAATAAGAAGGAAGGAGGAGAGGAAAGACTGTAAATCTGAGGGCTATACTTAGAAATGTATTGACCTGAGGTTTAGTGAAAATTAACGTTAGACTTAAAAGTGGCAGATATCAGGTTAAAGTTGTAAACTAAAGCTCTGTAAAGGTTCAATACAAATGAAAATAACTGCACTAAGAAACCAAGAAAATCTATTTTTTTGCCATTATATGTGAAATACTAATTTCATAAATTATCTGGAATAAATGTACCTACTTGTTAATATAATGGTTCTTCTAAACTTTTTTTTTGGTATTTATGGTAAGGGGACAGAAAAATAATTTGTCTTTTGGACAGATACTCAATAAGTTTTTAAAATGTCTTTTAAACAGCTCCTATGTAGAACTAATCTTTTAAGATGGGAATTCAGAATAGTACCAAGGTCTAATTATTCTGTTGCTCTTAATTAGAAAATATAATGGTATGTGAGGCACTACAAATTGAATCTGGAATGTGCCAATCTATTCAGAAGCTCAAACCACTAAGACTGGATCCAACAGATGTTGGCTTCTTTAAAGCTGGGTTCTTTTATCCAACTTAGATCATACTTAACTTATTCAGTAACCCTATCTATATTCTCCCCTTTCTAAGTCTGAAATCGGGAAAAAGGGAACAAGCATTTCCAGCTGTACATATATTTCTGTTAGAACTGTTAGCCAACAGTCAGCTATCTCATCTTCTTTATATGCATAATTTCCATAGAAACAGGAGGAAAAAATCAAATATAAAGTTAAACTGGCCGGGCACAGTGGCTCACACCTGTAATCCTAGCACTTTGGGAGGCAGAGGTGGACAGAGGGCTTGAGCACAGGAGTTTGAGACCAGCCTTAGTGACACGGTAAAATTCCATCTCAAAAAAAAAAAAAAAAATAGTTAAACCATTGTTCAATTTACATACCAAGCAAGCTAAACAGCCCAGTGACACACCAGACTCATTAAGAGGACTCCTCACTGCAGGTTTCACACCCTATGAATAAGCTCTAAAAAGCTCAGGATCAGGAGTCAGACAACCCTGCGTTTGAGTCCAGTCTTCCTGCTTTCTAAAAGTATAAACCTGGTCAAGTTATTCAACTTCACTACCTATCAAATTTCCTTATCTTTATATAAGCATGGAACCTTGCACATAGTAGTGTTCAATGGCCACTACTGTTATTGCTGAATAACCAATGGTGTGGTATCTGGCCAAATATTGAACTATGAGAGAGATAGGAGTAATTTCATAGCTTTCTAAAGATACACTCAAACAGCACTACTACAAGGGAATAAACCCAGTTGGGGTGGTGTATGTGGTGGTTTCATGAACAGAGATGGCTTCTACAACTAAAAATCAGTAACAGATTATATAACATAAACTGGAAATAAGAACAAAGTATAACAAAGGAACAGCCCACTAAACATGCTTCTCTGCAAAAACCCACAGAGTAATCTCAAAGAGTCAAGAGCCCAACTTCCAAAGTAGAAAACAAAAAGTCCTCTTACATAGTCCTGGATACTTATTCTATTCAAATGTAGAAGCTATGTTTACAGAACTGTTCCAGTATTAGGTCTCTGTCAATCAGGTTCTTCTAGCACATAAATGAAGACCTCACTGCTAGCAGTCTTGTTTTCTTCTCCTATGAGGACTACTCCCAGAGACCTACCTACCTGTCATCTTAAATACCTTTCATTTAGCCAAAAGCTTGCCATACTTTGAAACTGGAATCCTGTTGAAACTTGCTATGGGGTAGTAATATGTCCAGGTGGCCTATATGGCCACCAAGCCACCTCTCTGGTTATCATCATACTTGATGAGTCACCTATTAAATGAGGGGGTTGGGTTCAATTATTTTTGAGGTTCCTCTAGCATAACTGTCCTGTGATATAAGAAATCACGATACTACTCTATACCTCAGGGCCCTTAGTCACTGTTTGTTATTGATAATCATGATAATGGTGGCAACTAATCTCTCTACTAAATCTGTTATTAGAAAAGGCCTGAGGGCTGGGCACTGTTCCTCACACCTATAATCTCAGCACTTTGGGAAGCTGAGGACTAGGAATTCAAGACCAGCCTCCAGCCTAGGCACATGGTGAGACCCCAATCTCTACCAAAAAACAAAAACAACAACAACAAAAAAAAACAGGCCTGAGCGGGAGCAAGAGCTTAAACAGTCTAACAGTCTAGACTAGAATGATACATACTTCCCCAAGTTAACAGTTCATTCTATTATTAAAGCGGAGGTGATTAGGACCCAACAGTAGCCAAAGGATTCTGCATCTGTGGATTCAACCAAACATGGCTTGAAAACATCTGGGAAAAAAAAAATTGTGTCTGTGTTGAACAAGTGCAGGCTTTTTTTTCTTGGCATTATTCCCTAACTAATACAATACAACTATTTGTATTGCATTCACATTGTATTAGGTATTACAAGTAATCCAGAGATGATTTAAAGTATACAGGAGGGGCTGGGCACTGTGGCTCACACCTGTAATCCCAGCATTGGGAGGCCGAGGCAGGCAGATCACTTGAGGTCAGGAGTTCATGACAAGCCTGGTCTACATGGTGAAACCCTGTCTCCACTAAAAATACAAAAATTAGCCAGGCACGGTGGGGCGCACCTGTAATCCCAGCTACTCAGGAAGCTGAGGCAGGAGAATTGCTTGAACCAGGGAGACAGAGGTTGCAGTGAGCTGACATCGAGCCACTGCACTCACAGCCTGGGCAACAGAGCAAGACTCTATCTCAAAAAAA